GGGGGGGGGGGCCCCCCTACACGTGAAGTTTTCACGTGATTCATGATTCTCGAGGCTGCGAGCCCTTGACTTGCTAAAGCAAGAGCAACTCCAGCTAGCTGATGCTAGCTTTCGTGATAAGCTCACACAGCCTGGGGACAGTATGCATACAACCGCCACAGCCATCTAGTCTGCAAACACGTCAGCCAGAATCTATATGAGTTCCAGTCCTACGTCCAGTTGCTCCAATTGCTGGCATAGAACAGCAAAGACTACTGACCCAACAATGTCATCATGTCTACATGTCTACTGTTTTATTGCAGCTACAGTGACCCCATTGTTTCGACCCACCTACTCAGACCCCAACACCCGATGCCTCGCCGCCACGCGGTGTCGATGCGACGCGACCGGGTGTCGCCCCGTGGATTCGGCCCAAACGACTCGTTGGAGCTATGATTCGGCACGAAGTCCTCGGCACGGTGCCACCACGGTGCCGCCACAAAGCGGAGTGGAACTGAAGCTCTTTTTGGGGGGCCCTGAAGGGTTTCCAGACGTGAGGGGTACAAGTGACTTGAAGAGAAGACTTATGAATCTTTCGTGTAGTCACAAGAAGTAGGATGTTGAGATCTTCGAAAAAGTGGGGACTTCATGATCACAGAACAAAATGGCCCCCACCAAGACTCACCTGGAATCCTCAGAAAGAAAACATCGAGCTTCGTGAAAGTGTGAATTGCCACAAAAACAGCTCAAAAAACTGTGCTGTCAAGGATACTCCAGAAGAATCTCCTGCCTGCCCACCTTGATTCAACAAGTTCTGCTTGAAACCATTCCAATGAAGCTGACATCTTTGGATCAATTATGAAAGCTCCCCAAACTCCCAACCAATGTCTTTGTCGAAGCTTTCTTGGCACCCCAGCCATCAACACTTTGATGCCCATTTTATCCGCTGCTGCCACCAAGTCCTTGAAGTCCTGACGCGAGGACACGCGAGGACACACAGACTTAGCGATCACGGAGAGCGCACGCGCGACTCGGAAAGAAGAATCACTTGAGGGTCAATCCTATTCACTGGGCACAGTGAGCATAGTGCTTAATAGAAGATTCACGAGAATTGGTGAACACAGGTGCACACCCCTAACGACTAGTGCAGTGACTAGAGTAGGGTGAGGGATCAAAAATATAAAAGATCTGCATCAAAAAAGTTCAAGAGGGATCAAAAAGAAAAAAGAAAAGGATCAAAAAACATATTCACAGCGAAGAAAAATAGAATGGGGAAAGGACAGTAGTGTAGTAGTAGTAGAAGAAGAAGTAGTAGTAGTAGCAGCAGTGGTGGTAGTAGTAGGGGTAGGGCACAGCGCTTCCTAAGCGAAGGTTTCTGGCTGTCACGCTTGGCGAAGGCGGGCCTTATCATCCACCTTTGTGGCAGCGTCAACGCAAAGAAGATAGTACTTGTGGTAACTGTGGTAAGACTCGTAGTGGGGTGGGGTGGTCGGAGTGATAGAGGTACTGGTAATAGTAGGGGTAGTGGACGGCAGTGGGAACTATGAAAAAGTGGGAGGGGGTGCGGGGGAGGGCGCAGCGCCTCCCCCCCAATGCAAATCAAGTATAGACAGCGCTATCCCCCTACTGGGTAATACCTTACCAGCGAGCTAGCACCCCACTGGGAAGCTATCTCTCCACTAGGGAGCTACCAAGACTGAAGGACCATAAGATCAGCGGACTAGGAAGGGGACCAGAGTAGTAGCGGACCAGGAGACCGAAGGGCCAAGGGACCAGCGGACCAGAGGACCAAAGGACCAGCGGACCAAAGGACCAGAGGACCAGGGGACCCAAGGACCAGGGGACCGAGTCAGGATTATGGATTTTGTTGATGTTGTTCTTTTGTTGTTTGATCCTGTTCTTTTTTCTTTTTGATCCTGATGCCACTGGAATAGGCCCAAGGATCTGCAAGTCCATGATAGACGTGCCTCACTAAACGTGCCTCGCATCCGAGCCAAATGGGCATGAATGGGCTGGGTGTCGATTCGAACTAAGAAATGCAGCACCACGAATACCCCGCCGGATCCCAGGTGCTCATCATCCGGGAAAACCATCCGACATGGGTGCTGGTACACTAGGGTGAACTCTCTGGCAGTCCAAAGGAGTCGAAAACGGCCAGAAAAAGGTGTCGACTGTCTCCTTTGATACCCGGGCCGGGTTGATACCAGAATCATTCCTGTCCCCATTTCTGGGCAGGAAAACCTGCATAAACATGGGTATCCAATGGCATCCATAAACCTCTCTTTAAGTATTACGTATCTTTCTCTTTTCGGACATCTTTCTTCTCAAAAGAAAGAAACTCGCCCAGACGAGGTTGCTCCTGGAGCGAGCCGAAAAGGGCATCAATGTCGTGGAAGTCGCTGATGTCGTAGCCTGTCGGTGCGTTGGATGGGTGAGGAAGGGCCGACGTCGGTGCGTTGGATCTGACCGGAAATCACTGCATTCACCCTCGCTCCTCTCTCCCTCCATACCCTCCCTCCCTTCCTGTGTTTCAGCCTCCATCCACAGCACGTGAGACCGGAATGAGTCAGCTTTGCCCACAGCTATAGTTTTTCATCCACAGCTATGACTCACCCATGACTTGACCCTCCCAGAATGCCACCAACAAGACATCTCCTGAATGAGTGTGCCACAAAATTCTTCACAAGTTGAGCCCCATCTTATGACGCGAAAAAAATGTCATGGCCTGCTTTTTGAGCTCTATCACATACATGACCCCATTAAAATAGTATACCCCATTCAACCCATTTGTCCATGTCCCATGTCTCACTCTCATGTGTGTCCTTCGCGGGAAAAACGACAAAAACGGGTCTCCCGGGCCGAAGTCCCGCATGGGGCTCTTCATCACAGGGGAGATCCAGACAAAGCCGACGCCCAAGTCCTGGCCGTTCGCTGCATTTCGCGTTGGATCGCGTTGGGGTGTTCGACTACTAGGCTTCGGACAAACCTGGGCCGTTGGGATTTCCGGCGCCGACTCTGTAGACGATTCATCAATCGTCCTCAATTGGGATGTTCAAACCTCTTCCTATGGAGAGTTGAAATATCAACAATCTACATTGACTCCGTGATGGGAGTGAGGGGTGGCTTAGCGGCTTGGTTTTGCTGAGAACCCGAGTGCCTCGTGGAAGAAGCCCCCCACAACTCCACGACTTCGAGTCCCGTCCTTCAAGTAAGGAAGCCTCGATTTGATGCCCTTCAAGTCGCCCGTACCGTCTCCGTTCGAGTCTTGAAAGGAGCGTGGATAGATCCTCAGCTTCGTGGCCAAGCGGATGCCCGCAGGAGGTACATGAACGTCGGACTGCATGAGGGTGAAAACCCGCCATACCACATCGGCAAAATCATCGTTATAAGTTATACGCTTTATCATGTTTTATCAGTTGGAGCAACCTCATCCCCTTTCATCCTTCTTGGTCCTTCAAGCCAGCCAATTATATATATATATATTATACTTATATATATGTGGGTGGAAAGCGGGCTGGGACACTTTGTTGAGGGGCGTTTTTCAGATTGTCTCCTGGCAGCCGATCTATGCCGATGTCATCATCTGGTTGTGGTAAGAAAGTAGGGACCGACGATGGACTTGGTCATTGCTTTTTCTACCACCGGGTTGACCACCTCTGTGAAAACGCTGCTCATTTGCTCATCCGTCGAGACGCATATCATCAACCCTTTGGTCCGTCGAGAAACACTAGCACCCTGAAACAGCATTATGAATGCAAAACATTACAAAGCAGGATTGTGATGGATCGCAGACACAACCAGAACCACATGCTAGGATCGGATCGATTTGAAGCTGAAGAAAAGAAGGCATCTCTTGCCCATAAGACCTCCTGGTGCACAAAAAAGGGTGCTTGAGCAGCCTTGGCCCGAGAAACAAGTTCAACTCACCCATAACATGATATGTTTGCAGTGTGCCGTGTGGATTTTCAAGGCGTGTGGGAGTTTCCAGAGGTCCCAGTGAGACAGCGGTTGCTGCTGCGGCACTGATACATCACTTCAGTCTCCCACCAGTGGGAAGCTTGCGCCTCAGAGCGAGGTCTTGAGCGTTTTCACCAGTGGATCGCTCTTTTCAAAAAACACATCCATGACACAAAGGACTACATGGGAAAACGTGGTTGCGTCTGTGTGTCTGTGTTTTGAATCGTGTCATTCCACTCTGTAGAGTACAAAAAGTGGTAAAATGATCAGGACTTGGTCCATGAAACATGTCGAATGGTCAACAAGTCCTTTCCACAGAATTTGGGGTGTGGGACAGCGGCTACGCCTGGGGTCATTCACAACGGTGGATGTTTGTGGGCATCTGTTCCGAACGGACGAGATGCTGCTGTCAAAAGGCCGGCGTCGTCGCCTTGAGACGTCCCCACGATTAGGACCAAACTGGTTTCTTCTTGGCTCCCAAATTGACACCCCTTTCCCCGTAGAAGCCTGCAAGACCCTTATGTCGCCGCACACGGTCGAATTTCCTCCGTCCAAAGCTGTTTAACTGTAAAGAAACAAGCTGATTTGGGGATGTAGGACAGCAGCGGGTGCGCCTGGGTCCTCCAATACACATCCAATTAGTTGGTGACCAGTCTTTTCCTAGGACCCGATGCTGTCAAAGGGCAGCTTCTGTTTGAGACGTCCCCATTTGTGTAGGTCGTGAGCGATTTCACATGGTTTTAAACAGAGATCCTACTGAAATAGCGTCCACTTGTGGTTGGTGGAGTAGCATCAATGCTCCAGCTTTCCAAGCTAAGAACTGGACCACCCAAAGGCTCAGCAAAAGCACTCGTCTCGCCATACTTGCCATGGCTAGGGCTTGACACGCCAAAGTTTGCCTGAACCCAGATGCCTCCGAATGGAAGCCTCAAACAAACAGCCAGTCTCTCACCTCTGCTCATTCAGCCCATTCCTATCAATATGCTGAATGTTTGTTCTACATTGATTCTACATGAACACAAGATATTCTGACCAAGGGTCTTATTTCGGAGTGGTGGTGTTGACACACAAAGCAAGTTCATCGTTCCAAGCGCGAACAAGAACCGTGCGTTCCGCCGCAGCCAAGGCAGCCAAGGCCATCTGGCTGGACACCTTCGAATGACGGTCTCTCCCTCGGTGCTTCCGTGCCGTCGAGGTCGACCGCCGTCGAGGTCGACCGTCCGTCTTCCTCAGGGCCGCCACTCGTGTGGGAAGCGAATCAATGTCCCCCGAGGCAGCGAAGCCTGGCCGGGGGGACGGAACGGGTGACGGCGATTTTGTAGGATTCGGGATCACACGTTGATCAAGATTGCGCGGACAAAAGTAGTTACAAAGAAAACTCTGAGTAGGTCAACTGAGATGAAACCTGGCAAATCTTCACCTTGCCTTCCAACAAATGACAAAGGTTCTCACTCATATCTATCCATATGTCGTACATTCTTCTTCCTGAGTTTGTGGTTCTTCTCCTTCGTGCCGTCACAAAAGGACAGCTGAATGGAATCGCTTCGTTCGGAGCAGTTTTGCCTGACCGTTCCCAGCCGCCCACTGGTCGCCCACGTTTCCCCCCTCTGGCCAGTCGGATATCGGTGAACACCGGCACGGAGCCAACGTCTTGCATTAAGAAGTCCTCGCGGGATTCGGGTGATGAGGTCCGTCTGAGGGAAAAAAAGAAGCACGAAGCACTGGTTGGTTGGTTTGCGTGGGTTGGTGGGGGTGGTTGATTGATTGTCTGGCTTCACTTCCACCCTTACATCTTGCAGCCCTAGTTGTTTGGTGGATCAGTTGGCTTTGCCAGCGGCCCCCCCTGCAGTTCGCGGAACATCGAATGTCAGGTTCTGTGAATGACTTGATGAAACCGGGTGTGATTGAAACGACGAAGTGATTTATATACACCCACCAGTGCAATATTGATAGAAAAATGCTGCACAAGCTGTCCATGAGATTTTCTCATGATGCAATATCTCATCCAGAACTGTACTTCACGTCACTGTGGGTCTGTTGGTGAGTACGTAATAAGTATGGCTTCGTATTTTATGATGCCAGGGAGAGCCACAAAAGCAATGGGTTGTTGATTGTTTCTGTTTTAATCGTTTTGTTCCTTTGACCTTTCACCTGACCTGAGAGACTGGTCTGGGGTCTTCGGATTCAAATACATGAACATCCTCATCCACCCTCTACACTTCAACTTCTGTTGGTCCAAGTCGGCGAATGTGACCAGAACCACCACCAAACCTGCAGAAAAAACGACACCATCTACGACCTACCTGACCTACCTGGTGAGCGGTCCCTGACCTGTCTTGAGCGGTCCCTGCTCGGTCCCTTCGCGTCACCAGCAAATCCAGGCGTCTGGGAAGCACCCCACCTCGGCATGAGGGGGGGAGTCTTGGATCAGATTCTGTGTTGGGCGTGAAGGTGCTGAAGGTGGATGATGAATACTCCTTGCTCCGTTCGTAGCGTCCGATCGCTCCTAGTAGTACGGCCAGGAGCCCCGTTCGTAGCGTCCTTGCTCCGTTCGTAGCGTCCATGGATAGGATGAGCAAATGATGAGTTATATAATCTTCGATCCGTCGCCGCATCGAAGCTGCACTGGACAACCCGCACGCCATCGGAAGATCTGCAGTGCCTCGGCCACCCGAAGGAAAAAGGCTTCAGCTTTCTCGCCCAGGGGATAGGAGGAACTTGTCCCGAGAACTAAGGCAATTGGATTGGTGGGGCATGCAAATCTTGGCGTAGCAGCACTAAACTATACGCTTTGGAAGGTGATAATTTCCTCTATCAGTCCAACTCCACCAGTTTCGGGTCGCCAGGTTTCGGGTCGCCAGGTAAGACTTGCACGCAGTTGCCTGTTGTTTCAATTGCTTAATAAACCTTGACAGACCTTGTTGGAGGCAGAGCACGGAAAACTCAAGTCAGTTCTGACAGAACTGGGGTCGCCACCTCCCTTGATTCAAATCCCCTATTCATGCAACTGGCAGCTTTCAATCGGTCAATCGCCATGATCCATCCAAACGATGCTGTCGGATAGAGAATCCCCTTAAACATCAACGCGTGTGCCTTCTTGGTCACCTTGGACTTGGAGTCAGAGGTTTGGAGTCATGACATCTTTTTGAATCACTTGGAAGAAAAATACCACGCGGACAACCCCATGGGCCCACTCCTTGGTTGGATCCTCCGTGCTTGAGTTGTGACATCTCAAACAGTGTGATGTCGTCCTTCCGTTGACTTTGGAGGCTGTTTTCCGCATTAGGTGAAGGTGGGCAAACATGCTGTTTGCGTTTGAATCTTGGAACTTGGAGTTCTTGGAACTTGGAACTTGGAACTTGGATCTCACCTCTGGGTTATTGGAACATTGTTATGAGACCTCCGTTTGGTTAGCCTCCTCTAGCATTGCTCGTTCCTATGGCTTGCCCAAGCCACCTATATAGGTCAGGTAGCTTCCGGCGGCAATAAATGCAGTTTTCAGAAAACGATTCCCCGGTGCGATCCTTTAAACAGGCTTGAAATTTTCATGCACGTAGGCAATATGCTGTTAGCAAACCCAGACCATCAGCGGGGATCTATGCCATTATGCCGTGCATGCCACTGTGAACAGATCAGTTGCTGGAGCTTAGGAGGCGGCAGTGTAGAACGCCGCAACCTGGCGGAAGGCGCAGGTGGAGCGATGCCAACGAACTAAAAACCAACATTTGCCAGACCAGCTGCTGTAAAGAATATCCTGAAAAATCCACCCTATCGATGCCCAGACGTGGTGGGATTTCCAAACATGTTCTTGAGAAAGCTTCTATTCTTATATATATATATATCAACTCAGAAGAACAGAAGAGATGGCTATGGAGACAACAGCTGAACCGACAAAGATCGGAGATTGAACAACTAGACCGGAGTGCAGGTAGGATTAAAAATTTACTATAAAGTTGAGGTAGAGACCTTTGGGGTTCATTTCACTCGTCCGTTTGAGGTGTATGGGTAGCCCGATAGGAACACATATTTCCTATTTACACAACATACGCACGCATATATAGATATATACATCATGTGTATATATATATATATACAGTATGCAAAAGTCTGTCAGATGAGGCAAGCATTCTATCATACAACTGCCCTCACTCGTCTCCAATCAGCCAATCAGCCCACAAACATCTGCTTCCGTCCACTCCACACACGAATCGTCTAGTGCCAGGTCAATCGACCTGGTGTGCGTTCATGAAGTCTGAACGCTTTCGCACGCAAAACACCTCGTAGTTCTTTCCTCATAGATGCTGCCCAGTACAGGATGCGAAGCTCCTTTTCTGGGATAAAGCTCGTCTGACAAGCAGACCAAACAAAATGCAAAAACCATGTTCAAGGCGAGATTTGTTCAGTTTACCTTTGTTTTCTAAGTTTATTGGTGTTCTCGGTTTTCGTGTTTTCTTGGTGTCCTCGTATTCTCGGTGTTCGCATTCTCTTGGTTTTCTCGGTTTTCTGGGGCGAATCCTCTTACCAGTAGGTGGATGTTGCTTTAAAACTATTGCTGAGTATATATTAATATGTATATGTATATACATAGGAACTTTGTCGAGGCAATCCTATCACCATACGCTGACATACATGTCACATACTATATATATATAGACTGCTAGCGCGACAACGCCGTCGAAGTTGCAAGGTATGGCAGATTAATCTAAATCTCGCTCTGCTAGTGAACCAAAACCGTGGGGTAGCCGAGCAATCTAGCCTTGCTAGTGTGGCGAGGCAGCGGGCCAGTGTAGTTTTCATTCTGCTATTTTGGTCACAGCCTGGGCAAGCCAAGCAATCCACCTTTGATTTTCGCGGAGCTGTGAAGATGACCGCAAGGAGGCCTTGCTGAACGATAAGCTTTAGAACGTTGTTGCGCGGAAGTGACACTTGATTATCCCGTGCACAAAACTGTGTTCACATCTTCCAGTTCGCTCACTGATGAAAGAGCTCTCTTTTGACGATCAGGACTTGCTCTGTCTGCTGCTCTTCTGCCAGCTAAAGAAACGGAGTGCCGCTGTCGAACTGGGTTCGATCTTTTGGGCCGCGGATGCCGCAATTCGATGCTCTTTTGTTCCATAGTTCCATTGGTGCTCTCCAAACCTGCTATGCAAAGCCAGCGCGCCTTGATTGAGCCTTGACGTCGCACCAAGCTTCTTCAGTGAAGAGGTCATGGGACAGTGCACGGGCCAGCACGCACTCGCACGGTTGGAAAACAAGTCGCAACATGATGAGCCAATATGAGCCAGCATTTTACCAAAATTCAAGACATGAGTTGCTTGCTTTCGCAGCGTGCTGTGATGCAAGGCGCGGATGAACCCGCAGTTCCATGAACTGATCTGCGCAGTTTCCCAGTCCGCTTGGCAGTTGCGCACGCTCCCTCGGAGTCGGATTTGTCCATGTGATTCGAGCGTGCGTCCAGTTGAGGTTGCAATTGCCGCAGCAAGTGAGACGAGCTGCGGAACAAGAAGTCATGATTGCAGTTTCGTGACAAATTGTCTGAGTTGCGTGACAAGCAATCTTCATTTGCTTTCTGCAGGAACAACTGAACTGATTGTCACGGACATGATGCAAGCATTCGAGGAACCGTGCCTCCCTGGAACAACTAAACAGACATGTAATACATGAATTGGGGTTCAAATTGAGTTATATAACTATATAACTCTCTATAGTCTATCTAAACCGCAACGCCAAGTGTAGCACGAATTTCAAAACAACATCCTACCAAAGGACCCTCGATCACATATAGTATCAGTCTATATGCATACTATATGTCATACTATATATATACTACTATATTATTATGCATACTATCAGTCTATCACATATAGTCATATAAGTCATATAGTATCAACCTATTTGGTCCCCCATTTGTGGAAACCCGATCACCGACTGGGTCGCCCAAGCCCGGCCAGTCTCCAGGCAGCTCGCTGGGTCGATCTGAGGAAGCGCAAATCGAAGGCTGAAACATAAGCGAAATCACAAACTGAACACTGAAATCACATGGCTTCGACACCCTGAAGATTTTGCCCAGTAGAATCTGGGAGTGGGTGGGATTGGTTTGAATGAAATCATCGTAAGTCTCCACTGTGTGCAAAAACGTGTTGAATGTTCAGAAGTTCAGAGTGATTACATGGCATGCGCACTTGTGCATGCCAGGAGTGTCCTGAGGTGACTGGTGAATGATATAGTATTGCGCTGCACATATCCTCTACCACAACTCTGAGGTATCTTAGTTCTGTTTCTTTCAGAACCCCATGGAAGAGAATGTTTCTACACCTCTGCGTGATTTAATTAGTCCTTCAAATGTTCAAAAGCTTGGAGTTGAGGTCTTCGAGTACTGTGGAGACACTCACGAGGAGTCATACGACGAGGAGTCATACGACGAGGAACGCTTTCGAAGGCCTTCCTGCAAATACAAGTAACCTAGTAGCGTCCGATCGCTCCTAGTAGTACGGCTAGGAGCCCCTAGGACCTAGAAGCGTCCGTGCTCTCGCTCCGTTCGTAGCGATGCCCCTTGCTCGATGTTCGAGGTTCAGATTCAACGGTGCCGAATGGATTCGGCCCAGCCTTCAGCTCAAAGCCCCTCCGCTGGATCCAGCCTATAGACAGGGAGGCCGGTGGTGAAAAAAAGTTGGGGCAGGCATCCTGGAAGGTGGTGGTTTTTCAGAAGGGATTTGACCGTGTCAAGAGGTCCACAAGTCAACCTATTTTGGACCTTTCAGATCCTCACGGTGGAGTGTCCTGGACGTGCGGTGTGGAAGTTCATGGTCCCGTGGTTTGGAAGAGCCCCCCCCGCTGAAAGGAAAGGAACATAGAGGAACAAGGTTTGGCCAAACCTGGAGGATTCCCAGATCCTCCTCATCCTCCTCATTTTCCCATCTTTTTCGCTGAGGTCGCAGCAAAGATCCAGGTCGCTACTATGAAAGATGCTGGCGATGTCCTGTCGACAGAGTGCGACCGTGGCAAAAGGCAAAGGGATAGTGAAAGGGAAAATTAGAGGGAAAATTCGAAGAAGACTTCTACTGGAAAGAAAGCTTGGTCAAGGTAGACTGCAGCGAAATTGATGTTGATGCTGACTAAGGTGATCAAAGATAAGTTCGAGCTTTTGGGATTGCAAGGTATTGCTGGTTTGGGCTCCAAGTAGGAGCCGTCTCTCCTCTCGTGACAGGGCCAGCGCAAGGGGTCGAGACCAATCCCCGAAGCCTCATTCTTCACAACTATGTAAATCTTTGAGTCGGTCCGGGTTCCCAGTGCTGAAAAAAAATATCCAAGTTCCAAAGCAGGGACCTGCCAGCACATTCCAGCACCAATTATGAAGCTGACTTTGCGGACTTGCCACTGTCAGAGATTTCTTCATGAAACTTTCAGTCATCGCTTGCCGCCTGTCACCGAGGCCCAGAAAAAAAGAAAAAAAACACCCTTTTCGGTGACGGCGAGCATCAATGACGTCGATCGATCGATCCGGATCGCGGCGGCGTTGGCGCCCAAGTTCTCATGAAGAGTGGCAGCTAGAGTTCCGATGGAATTTCTGAACCCTCCAGGCGAAAACCATTGAGGAATTGCCCATGAACTTCCCATTTTCCAGACATGGCGATGTGCTTCTTCTAGGTCTAATCTTGGGCAAGATTCAAGCAGCCTGATCTTTTGATGTTTATGAAGTGCAATCTGCTTCAAGACTGATGATTAGACTCAGACTTTCGTGCCTGTACACTGTACAACTTGTTCCTCCGCCGGAATGAGGAAACCCCCACGAGATGGAGGAAGAACGGGCACCGGATGGCTAAATGCTCTTCTTTTCTATCACGACGCCGTATCTCTATGTATCTCTCAAGGACTGAGGATCAAGAACCTCACCAACACCAAATCTCCGAGACTTTTGAGGGGAACGGACCAACTCTTCCCTCGGTGACCGGCTCGGTGACCGGCTCTCTACCACCTCGGTGCCTTTTGGTTCTACGCCCTGCTATGATGAACACAGAACCTGCCAAAAGACCACTGGTTTGTGGAGGGAAACGGTCTACTTCCTATCCCTCCAGAGGTCCATTTTGAGGTTTCATGTTCATCTTCCCGGGAGAAACCGCTGAGCCCAACCTGCGGGCTCAGCGGCGCCAGCGCCGAAGAACGAGGGTCTCACGCCAGGGGCTCCGTCACGGAGGACCCCGTGAGGGTCAAGGGCGGCGGAGTCTTGGGACCCTGCTGGGCGCGGCTGTTGTTCACCTCAGACAAAGAGTTGGAAGAGTCCATCCACCTGAGATGGGTATGGTATGCCGTTGTTGTATGTATAAATTACATATATACATATATACATATATATATTATATATATATAGTCTAGACATTACCAAAATAGATGCAAAGTATGTGTGCATGTGTATATATATATATATACTGGGGGCAAGTGACTGAGGAGTTAGGGCTGCTAATGTTATTGGAGTTATGGTAGGTTAACTCCTCAGTCATGTGCCACCTGAAAATTGGCAAAAACAGGGCAAGCAGATGAGATAGGACTGCCAAAAAAGAAATAGTCGAAATCAGAACTGTTTAAAACGTTCAATTTCGATGGATGTTTGATGATTGTCGGAGGTAGGTATAGACAGCTCTTAGCTACCTCTCCTGATCATTTCCCAATGCTGATGACTGAGGAGTTACAAAACCGCGGCATATGTTTTCTAACTCCTCAGTCACTTGCCTCCAGTATATATACACAGCAACTGTGGGTCAAGGCAGCAACACCGGGGGAAAAGAAACGAGCTCTCCTCCTCCGATGGGGTCATTGACTCGATGTGAGTGTTTGGTGTCCGCGGTGTCTGGGTTCCTGTACTTGTGGGTGATTCCTTTTCTCCAGAATCATAGGGCCAGTGAACATAGTTTTTCGACTTCCAATGTCAAGCCAAATTTCCAAGGTCTGTCTGCCCAAGACGACTAGATCCCTGACCCAAAGGATTCCCTCCAAGTCTGTTGGATCATCCCAGTCTTGAGGAGCTGCAAAATTGTCCCCAATGTTGGCCCCTGCGTCTTCAATTGATGTCCAACACCAGGTTAACAGTATCCTGACTGACAGGGGCACTTGAAGTAGCTCAGGTGGTATATCTCTCACAAACCTGCAAACGTTTTCATGAGATGTAGCAATTTGGACAGAAAAACTCATGGCCTTTGGTCGGCCGCCTCCAACCTGGCACGTGCGCCACAGCCTGGCCCCGGCCCTGATCCCCGAATCCCGGCGAGTCACTTCAGCCTGGGTGAGCAAGAAGCGGGTGTAGACCTCGTTCTGGGTTTCCTCCTGTCGGAAACTGAGAACTACTAGTAACACGGACGCTACGGGCGGCGGAGGCCATCGCTATTAGGATGGAGGCCATCGCTACTAGGAGCAAGGACGTCAACTAACTCTGCCCAGGACGAGTGCAGCTTGTTTTCAGGTACCTTGCAGAGGTATCTTACCTGAACCAATGCACACCAAAGTGAACAAAAAGAATTCTAGACTGTGAGGAGGTGAATCTACACCTGGACATCCTGAACGTCATGCTTCTACCAAAACACAAGTATTTATTCTATTATCCGAATACTCAGACTCATCTTCAAGTATAATATAAAATATAAACATCATAGTTATAGTGCACTTATCTTTCTCCAGAAAGACCCAAGGTGAGTGATCACAAGCATCGCAACTCTTTTCCCGAAAGCTGTGCGCGGTTGCTTTGTCCACGACAGCAGGCGGGCTGTGGTCACTTTTGTGGCAATCGTGTGGTATCCAGAAGACGTCGCTGAAGCCTTCTGCAACGTGAAGGATCTTTGGCCAGCATCTTTGGCTGAGATTGATTCCTCAGCATCCCAGAGTTTTGGTGCGGAGACTGGGAAAACCTGGTGAAACCTGTGTCCCCCTTACCGACCGCCTTAGGCCTTCCCTACAAAGAACAACGATGCATGGCCCACATGGAGCAGCGTCCCTCTCCATCCCCTCTCCGTCCCCTCTCCGGGGCTCAAGAGCTTCTCCCAACGATCGCACTCCAGCCAGAGGAATCCAAAGCCCTGTGAGAAGAAGAAACGTGACGAGGGACCCGGACCTTTGGACCCCGGTCATGGGCATCTTTCCTCTGCAAAAGAACATCCAAAGGGTCCAGCCACTTGACCGATCCACAGGATTCGATTTCTCGCTTCGAAAAGCAGAACTTGGGTCGCTATGTTTCTCAGCCCCACCAGGTTCGGCTTACTCGCCCTTGGAAACACGTGGACAGACCGGATCTAGTCTTGGAAGTTGGTCCCCAATCCTTGTGGATCGGCGAAGATCGTCCTCTTCGCTTACTCGGTAGCTGAGCAGGATGTTGTTTAGAGCTTGGTGTGCCTGTTGTTCAAGTCCATTGAGCAGCTGCGACACATTCTTGAAAAAAAATTGACGAATACAATACAGCACAGCAATGTTCTTTTTCAATTTGTATATTGCATCACCAGCATCACCACAAGGGGGTGTCACACCACTCCACGACCAAGTCAGAAAGGGACTTGGGGTAGAACAGCAGGGGAGCTCACCCGCACAAGTGCTACAACCATCGTGTTGTCACCGACATCGATCGACATCGAAAAAAAGAAACAAAGAAACTGGAAAACAACTGATGCTTCATGATGCTTCTCACTGAGTTGATAAAGACTCCAAACAAAAATCCCTCAACTCTTTTGGTCTCGGTGGTACCTCGGCACCACCTCGCCCGGTCAACGGCTCACCCAAGAGCTCGGACACCACGTCGGCCGACCGCTCGCGGGCGATCACCTCCTGGTTTCGGCGGTCGGGGTTGGTCGGCATGTCCTTTTTGAGTCCCTTTGAATGTAGGTTGCAATACCACAGGGGGGGGATCCTGCTTGCATGGCACATCCATGTACATCCCTTGATGTCGGCTGTGAGCTCCGCCTTCACTCTGCAGAACGACGTCTTCATGTCCGTTGCAGCATGAACTAGTCGGAGATCCCAGGTGCCCCAAGTCAGTCCTGGACCCCAAGGTCGAGCACCTTCTTGGGCTTTGGACATCTCTTGTCGTATTCCTTGCCCCGACAGCGGAGGCATCTCCGCTCGAAGGGACCAAGGCAGCCTTGGACACCCAGTGGAAATCTCACGCAAGGAAAACGGATCCCTTTCTCTATGTTTCCTGTGGTGTTGCGGAGTGCTTTCTTGGTTTTTAGATCAAGACCCTGCGTCCATTTGGTGTGCCAAACCTCCCAGGAGATTCTAGATAGTTCTTGAAACTCAAGAGCGATTTGCAGTGTTCCTGATGGGGTCTCAGCGGTCGCCAGCCAAGCCATCTACCTTCCACTCCAGCCGGGCTTGAGTGGTCCATTCCAGCAAGGGCAAATGCTACAATAAGTTGCTGGACAGCGACAGGGGAAAACCAAAGGGCAAAAGAATGTGTTCCATTCCTGAACAATGTTATTATTGTTATTATTGTTCAGCAAGAGCAAAACTAAAGCCTGTTGTTCAGGAAGTCAAAAACACACTTCGTTCGTCCCCGACCGGGTCGAATAATGCAGGCGAAAATATTCGCTTGGACAAGCATGCACAATTGGGCTGTGACTTGGTCATGTAAAGTTATAATAGGAATGCAATGCATTCGGCCACCTGCCTGAACCAAAGATCTCCAAGGTTGACCCGCCCCCAACAACACGACCTCACCGGTCACCGATTTGCTCCGGGGCACCACGATGGATGAGATGCCAATGATCTCCAGGTGCCTGCATTGCAAAGGGTGGTTGGAATCCAACAGCATCATTGTTATTTTTGAGGTAGTTTCATTCCATGCCAGAGACCCTCTCATCTCGATCATTTCTTGGAAGAGTTGAAGTAGGCAAAACTGGAATGTCAGTGCTGCTTGCCTCGTTCAATGACTATATCACAACAGTTCCAAGCTGGAATCCAAGCTCGTTCAGAAGTTTAAAAACAGACCGAACTCAACAATACGAACTCACAGGTTGATAAACAAACGGGAGCTGAAGTCCGTGTTCGAGCTGGTTCACTTTCAATTTCATGGGTCATTTGGCGATGAGGCCAAAGATAGAGGCAGACTCTGACAATGAAGAAAGCCATTCACGTTGAACCTCATGTAGCAAAACTAATCAATTAATGGTGACCCTACAGTTCTTGATGCTCTCGAATAATTTCGTGGTTGTGTATTTCAGCAAACCCCCAAGTAAGCAAATGGTTGTTCTAGATAATAAGTTGTATAGATCATTATAGATCCATTTCAATACACGCCCATCTCTCTTGATGGCCTGGCTATGACTCTGAGTCGAAACCGCCGAAAACCGCCGAGTTTTCCGCACCGTGGCCGAGATCGTCAGCTGCGAGAGCGCAAAGCTGCCCATGGGAGGAACCGGATGCAGGTAGACCTGGACGTCGAGTCTTCCACCGTGCTCCAGAGATGGACGGTGCCCGAACGACCAGGACGATGGCGCAGTTTAGATTTTGGAGGGGTGATTGCAAGCTGCAAGCACTGAAGTAAGGGGCCTCCTCGTGGCCTCTTCACAAACCGTCCCGGTTGAAGCAAAGGACACCAGGCTTTGGCGCATGGTCGCCCATCCAAGAATTTGGAGGAACCCCCAACATCCCCCAACCAATGGAGTCCTGGAGACCACAAGAGATCCTGCATCTCCAAGCCCTCCCATAGGATTTTTGGTACTAGAGGTTAGTCCAAATGAAATTGAGAAATGACCCTCCTCGATGCTCCGACCACAAACATTGAAAAAAGGAGGAGCGTGATAAGGACATCAAAGAACATGTCATCTCTCTATGCTTCCAAACTGTCCAAACGTTTGACTTCCATTGCCAGAAATCAAAGGATTGTCCAGCTCACAAAAGGCCACCGTGACTCTGACCCCAATTTGTGGGCTTGCACCCAAACCTGGTGACCGTGGTTGACCCGTCAATTGCTTGGGATTCACTTCGTCAATTGTTTAGGGTTGACCCAGAGCAAAAAGGCGCCCAAAGCGCGTGACTTGAAGTCCAAAGAGCGCCATCTGGCCGGGCACGAAGGAAGGCTTGATATTGCAGGCCCACCTGGGCGACATGAAACGACCCGCGCCCTGGGCTGGGCTGAGTGTGTTTGTTCAAAGCAGACCGAGAAAATGGGAGAAGGGAACTGGGAACATACGATCGCTATTCTATGGATACACTCATGGATACTTCTTCTCTTCTGCACCCAGCAGCACTGTTGTATGGAGGTTGAAAAAGCCACATGCTCAAGCCTGAAGTTCTGCGGGCACGGGAATTGGGAGGCCCATTCGGAGTCAGCCAAGCAACTTTGGGCTCGAATTCCTGGGTGACGTAGTCGTAAGCCTCGTTGGGAGAGCAGCTTTTCACGTCTTGCTGTGAGGTGACAAACAGGGGAAAGGCGTTCTGCGTGACCGAACATCAAAACGGCGAGCTTCATCGGTTGCGGCCGGAAGGGAGGAATCACACCGCCCACAACCTACACACAGGGACGGAGCAAGGGCAAAGGGGCTTAAGTTTACCAAGTGATCAAAAGGGGAGCAGCCCAAGGCCTGTGCGGACTTTAGCCTAGTCACCAGAAATGGTGCAGTTTCTATTGTGGACCTTTTGCATCCAAATTGGTTCCTACAACCATGGACCATGTGCATGGTTGATTCGGCTTAACATTTGATCCTCTCTGAGGTTCAAGCTGGGTCACTCGCTGGGCGCGAAAGCCAGTGGGGTGGCGGGTGCACTTGTACAGACCATGCAGCGCAGCACGTTACTCCCAAGGCGAAAAACAAATGGGATAAAACCCTGCGTTTAACGTGTACGTGCTTTGTGTGCGTTTTCACTCATCAGTTTACACCTGAAATCCAATCCGAATGCGGCCCATCAGTCGTCCCAGTGGCGATCTGAATGCGCTTGCACTGCGAGTACATCCGCTCATCCGCACCCAACACCTTCTCCGGCTCGGCGCCGGGCTTGTAGAACGGATAGACGTACCTGGCATCCAAACGGCCAAGCAAATCAGTCGCTGAGGCCAAGAATTCGGTTCTTTCTTTAAGTGGGTCGCGAGGTTGTGGACGCTTGCAGTACATTCATTCCGTACCCTCCTACGAACAGTCCGGCGAGTCATAAACACAAGTTGAAACCATCGGATCTTGGGGGTACATGACCTGGTGATCCGCAGAATCCGCAGAATCCGTCAGTCCATTCGTTATCTTGGGTGGGTTGCAGTCGTCATCTTGGGTCCGATGAGGTCTCCAACCAAATCCACCGAGCAGGTCGTCATCTTCGCCCAGCGGCCATGGCTCTTGTCCCGCTTTGCAGTTGGATGCTCCTGGCATAGGGTAGCTGGGTGGCATCCAATCCTTAGGTGACCAAAAGGGTACAAATTAGAATCGTTTACAACTAGAATCAGACTGACAAATTGATAGTACATCCGTTCGTGATACCACAAGCGGTGATGAAATCATCACTGAAAGACCATTGAAACTCCCTGCGCCGGGGTGCAGATATGAATTCCTGCCCGAGCCAAGTTGTAATCCATCGCGGACGAAGTCGTGAATTCATGGAACATACCACTACGAGGAACCAAGCCCAACAACCCCCCTCTGAGAAATGCCCAGATTCCACGTGCACGGGCTTCATCAAGTCTTGACACCTCCCGAAGGATTTCTCCCGACAGTGAGAAATGTCTCGGGCGTGGGCATCAGTTTAACTGTAGTCAAACAACAGCTCAAGGTTCTTGGGGTTTTCTCTTCGATTCTTAGAAAAACGTTGAAGAGTGTCTGGCAAAACAGGCATATAGTTAGCCTTCCCCGTTGGTGGAAAATTGCCAACCCCCACGTTGGTAGTTTGGAGATTCTAACATAGCGTTGGCAACGGAAGTGGACCTGAGAATACCTGAAAGTGTGATCTTTTATGGTAGGGTGTTGGTGGAAAACGGTCACATAGCTACACATGCTAGCTGCTCAGGCACGGCTTCAGAAGCTCTTCCTCGAAGGAGTGCCGGATCATCGTCTTGTCTCGCGCCTGATGAGTCCGTCAGCCACTGAGACGTCGGCTCGGCCACTGCTGCGGTGCTTTGGTCTGCGCAACAAGAGACTATCTTTCAGGTGGGGTAGACAGAAAGGGCAGGACTTCGCGATACTTAGTGAAATGACTGATGAGTGGCACAGCTTCCAAGCACCTTTGAGGAAGATCGGAATTATCTTGATTGAAGTCCCACAAATTCAGGAGTGGCCTGAATGCTCTCTTCCAGTGCGAGGAAGAAGAACCTCGGCCAGCAGAAGCATGAAATCAATTACAAAGTGTTGCTTGATGGTGAGGATGCGCTTTTGCCCGCCAGGGTTGCCTGAATCTCTTCAGTCCAAAAAAGGCCTCTGTGGATAACTGGGCAGTGTTTCCCGGCACCATCCCAAGTGGAGGTTCATCCTATTTGCCAAAACAACTTTGAAACTTAATTCATCGCTCTGTAGCGCCTACCTGGTGAAGTGGGATCTGCACTCCAAGTCAAAAGAGGGTTGAAACGAAGCGCCAACCCCTCCACCCGTCTCTGAACTGCCAAGCAGCACGTCCACTCGCCAGTGTTGTCCATCAGGGCCCAAAGATGCTAAGCCTCAGCGAACTCCCGGCTTTAACCCTCAATGCATCTTGGCCTCCAACCTACTAGCAATGGCCTCCAACCTGCTAGCAATGGCCTCCACCCTAGTAGCGATGGCCTCCAATATGCTGGTAAAAGCGAGGAAAGTTTGACCTGTACAAAACCATACAAAACCAATCTCCTAGACAGGCAGCCTGGAAGTGGTATATCCGCTGACCTTGCCGGCGTGTCTAACTGATGTTCTTGCTGTTGAAAGAACTGTGTAGCTGTAGGCTATAGTTCTGTACTAGAACTGTCCCCTGCGTGGATTTGCTTCGCCCCCTTCGTCCCCTTACTCTTCTTTCTTCTATATCTGTGTTCTCCAAATAAGTCCTGCTCCTGCCCAAGGAGCCTTTGCACCGAGCACTCAAACAGCGAAAAGTATTTAAGATGTTGCCGGATTTTGTGTTAGTTCTGACGTTGCACATGCTTTGCTTATGCATTAACAAGCTTTCACACCCACCAACAGCATTTTACATGCACAACCAACAAGTCTTTCAATAACTACTCGCAAGAGCTGCAATTGCACAAGTAATTTACCTACATCAACAAGTTTGGTACAAGTAGTTTGCACAACACATTCGTTTACACAGCCTGTTACACAAAACCGGTCCGTGCAAACACCTTTCTCCACAACATCTGCTGTTAGACCAAACATGTGCAAGCTACGCAAACAACGACAGCTGTTTGAACTTCATACCTCTTTCCCAAAGTCTGTTAGGAACTGTCTTCTTCTTGCCTTCTCCGGCTCTGCATTTGTCAAACCCAACCGCTCAGATACTGCAGCCTTCCACGTTTTGACTCTGTATAATTTTATTTGCTGTTTTGGCCCACGGTGTAGCCCTGTACGTCACGTAATTGTTTCTTTCATCACAGGCCCAAAGCAAAACCAAATAATGACCTGCAGTGGAAAGAAGCCGAGAGACCCTTCACCAGGTTTTCCTGGATGTTTTCACAGACTTCCGGCCATACCATCGCACGCGCAGCACCGATGATCAACACGGCCACAGCAGGAGCACCTTGAACGAAAGGCGTGAGCTAGGCGTGAGGACTGCGGCAGGCTGCTCTTCAAACAGATTCTGTCCTCGGCCTAGGGCAATTTACTGTGATTGCCAAGACCAATGAGGACTTCGTCTCTGACACTGCATGATTTCACGAGGTTGTGTTTTTGGATTATGGACCGAGCTCAAACCCACGGAATCACCAGTGAATGGAAAGTTGATCATCGTTCATTGTCCAGAAATCACACTGTTTTTTGTCCAAACATGCGAAAAGTCCGAAACTCCCATCCCTCGCTTCCTCTGCGCCACTGGATAAGTCTCCTACGTCAAGTCGATTCTGTGCATCTATGGCCTGTGCTTAGCTTCGGTGTTTGAAAATGAGGGATGATGCCAGCAACTACCCTTTGGCATAGGCAATGAGGTCCTGCAAAGTGGGCCCTTGGAAGACTTTGGACCTTCAACCGGTCCGCTTTCCACGAAAACTGCATGAGAACCCAGCAGTTTAACCTCAATGCGATAGCGCTTTTGAATCTCTTTAAATGAATTCCCCTGCCACGAGCTCCCACAAATCACAGAATCCCCCTCTTTGTAAGAGGACCCTCCCCCAGGTCGCAACGAACAGCTCAAGGAACCCTCCGGCTTGGCCGAATTTTCTGGTGCCACCGCCACAACGCGGCGCGAAACCGGCGTCACAGGAGGTGGTGCGCCCAGAAAGGCGCCCTGTAGTGAACTGCAAGCACTGGGCTCCTCAAACTAACAAGAGGGGTCGAGCAAGTCTAGATTCCCCATCCAGAGCCATCCTCATTGAAACTAGAAGTGGAAAATGAAGCCTTGGAAGACCATGTTCCCGCCTTACAAAGAGATGGTTTTCCGCTTCCATTGAAAGTGAGTCAGAGGGTGACCTAGCGGTCAGGTGTGGTAAAGGAGCGGTTTATCCAACCAGTGAGTTAGCCAGTCCAAGGCAGTCCCTCACTTAAGCTGTTGGCTGCGGGGCAACCTGTGTAGTTTCGGAAAGAAAAACCATTCTCCTTGTCAAATTCATCGCGAGAAGCCAGCAAGAGATACTTCTTCCACCTGCGGCAGTGGGGAACCATCCATGTTTCCATGCCCTTCACTTGGATTTGCTGAGGGAATCTGTAAAAAATGGAATATATGTCCAGAAGATTCCAGAAGGGATTTACCCATAGGGAAAGTCAAAGAATCACCTGATCTGCAAAACCACCGCACCGGGGCGCTCAGCTCCGAGGATTGGAGCGGAAGAGTCTGAAGGCACGTTAGGCACGTTTGGTCTGAGACCCTTTGGCCCAGAATTCTGAGTGCCTGTTAGGCTGCGCGGTGCTGCGCCTCTGAAAACAAGTGCCTGTTCGGTGTGCGCTCGAATGGGGTGACTGCAAGTTGAAGCGCCAAAACCGTGCCCGAACCGCGAAACCCATCCGATCGCACGGTTTGCCTGTCACATTCCAGGACCAGCATGCCATAATCCTGGACCGGCCACCGGCCGATGCTGGATGGAAAGAGAGCCAAAGTCGATTGGTTTTGAAGAGTTGAATCAGAGTTGAACTGCCTAATGCAACAAACCTTTCTGAACTTGGCAACCTCACTAGTGCTTGATTCATGTGGCCAAAACCTGTCTCTTTGTCATTTTGGCACATCAAAACTTGAAGATCTTGGGTTGTGGACTCAATGATTTGTTTCAGACCCCCCCACCAGGACCCGACGCCAATTCTCCGATTCGCGGAGAATCGGCTCGCGGCGACGCCGATTGTCCGCCTTGCTCTTCCCAGAGCGTTCAGGCACCTTGGCCTTCGAGAGTTGCACGGCAACTTGTCCGGTCAAACGCAAAAGAAAAAACACGGGACACAAGCTGTTTCATTGAGCTGTTACCCCATGACCCCGGGCACTCCAAAATAAGTCCGTCGTGGGACATGTTAAAATATCTGCAAACATCACCAAGCTTCTACCGGTTTGCTGATTGGTAGGTTGGCTTGATGTGAAACACTTGGTACCCCTTTCTGTTCGTCGTACAGAGCGCCAGAAACGCCTTCTCAAGCTTCATCTTCCGGGCGAAGCTCAAGGGCTTCTCTCGGGCCACCACCGCCTGGGCGTGCACTGCGCAGAGGCGCAGAGCGGTGCCATTGCGGTGGTCAATGGTGGTCCCCAAATAGGAGTGGAAACGGTGTTCAGTGCATCGATTTGAGTGTCTGGGGTCTCTTACTTTTCTATCGATTTGAGTGTCTGCATCTGTGCATGTGGCCGTGATTGGTCAGTTTGACATTTCTCAGAGAGATCAGAGATTGCTTCAAACCCTCATCCTCCACAACTGGTTGCGGAACGACCCAAGATGGCGTCTGGTCGTGAAAGACTGGACACAAAATACCAAGAATGGACGCAACCCGAAAATTGGATCTCTGAGCACCAAATGGGTTTCTCACCACCAAGTCCTGCCTGTACAGCAACGTCTACGTTCACCGTCTCGTTCCGGCAGTGCTCGTCGTACTCCGAGCCTTGGCATCGCCTCGGGTCGTACCGCGCGGCCGGTCTCGCGCGGCGATGCCGGGGATGTTTGGTACCCTCGGTCGGTTGGGAATGAAATGGAATGAGTATGGAATGGGTAGCCCAAAAGTGAGATCACAAGCCCTTGTCTTCTACATCTCATGGTTCTCATGTAAGACTCGGTCTCCGTAGCTTATGACCATCCCCATGCGGAAAATCAAGCCATCTTGGGCCACCACAGGGAGGTTCTCGACCCTTCTCGTTGTCTGAAGCTGGATTTGCTGGATGTTTGGCACTTCTCCGCGACGGTGAATTTCATAAGGATCCCAAGCGCAGAAGGGTTGGAAACCGTTGTTTTGGGGGCGATTTTCCGGAGAGTTCCTGGAAAAAATGTTCGATATTGTTCGATGTTCGTGACAACAAATGTCCATGGACATTAGCAATTGCCAGAGACATTCCTAAAGCGCTCGAGTTTCTGCCAGCCCGATGGATTGCCCGCATGGGCCGCATGCAGAGAAAGAGAGGCATCCTTCTCCACAATTGGGCTTTGAAAGGTAATTCAGAACTGCATGCCTTCAGCGATATGGAAATTGCCACGGGTTGGAAACAGCCTTCCCTCTACCACACATGAGCATCGCCTCGGCACAGCAGTGCCTCCTTAATACTAAAAAAAGAAACGCACCAAACTGTCTTTGTGCGCTTTCGATCTCCAACCCTGAAGGTCTTCGGTTTCAACTTTCCTGTCTCTTTTAATCCCAAAAACCTGTTCAAGACTCTTATAACAATAAAACATTATTTTTGCAAATTGTACAACCTCTTCCTTTGGGATTGTTTTAAACAAGAGTCTACATTCTCCATCAGAACGCAGTCAGTAACTTGAGCTGCCCAGTAGCAGGCAGTAGCGCCGCTTGGGCCCGCTGCAACCTTCCACCAAATCAACAATTTCAGATCTGACATGGAAGACCCAAAGACACTACTTCATATGCAATGTGTTCGCCCCCCTTCTTTGTCAGCAATTCATGTCAATAACCAACTGCAACACCCTAGAGCAAACTGTTCGTCTGCTCCACGTAGGTGTCCGTCCATGTTTTGACCTCTGAATTCCATGCCTTCGATCGGTCTGTGCCGTCGCCTCGATGAACAATGTGCCAATGGTCTCCAGGGGCTGTGGAAGCAGTCGTAATCCTGCGCTTCAAAATTTGCGCAGGTCCGATCACTGAAGTCGCTGAAAAAACCGTGACCTCTACAATCGATCCTGAAGACCCTGAAGATAGACTTGCGGTTCCTTGGTTCTTTACAAAGCCAGGTCTTTGTTTTAGGGGTGAGTCTGCAGAGTAGCAAAAGCCTATCAAGATCGATCAAGTTGAAAGTGTCGAAGCAAAGCACAAAACCCTAGCCACACCATGGCACATTCGACAAAGTCAGCGAGCAGAATCATAAAAAATGATAAAAACCTATAGGGTGAGTGCGAAAAGGAAAAGTATAGCCCTCCAATCTCCAACAGGATGTCCATGTTGATTGAACTTCGGATTCTCCAAGCAGATTCCTTCGAGATTTGCACATGTAGATTGGTATATATATATATATCCACTACCAGAGCCCAGTGGATGATGATGGTTATATAGTAAAGGCCTTTCTCAAAAATAGTGATCATCTTCTACTGACTGTTACTGGTAATGAGCTACACCCTACATGTAGACATGAACCCTGTTTTGAACCTCCGGGTGCTCCATCAATCTTCTGCCCAACAAGTTCCGGTGTCGTGAACCATTTCGCCGTTTGACCAACCAGTCCAATTACAGTACAAGAAAAAATGAACACGAACCCTTTGCAAGTTCCTGGCATAACTTATGGGTCGAACAGGGACACAACATCACTCCATCAACCAGCTAATACCTCCTACCAACAAGATGGATCTTTCTCGATGCTCTGTTTAAAAAACAATGTTGGGCCTTCTTGAAAACAAAACCAAAAATCAGTGAAGTGTGCCAATAGAGAAAAACTCGACCAACCTCTGATCGAAAGTGAAAATGAACAAGCACCCCATGTGCTTTCTTGCTTCCGACGCAAACGAAATTGGTCCTGGAAAGGTTAAAGTGGGAGATCGGAGGAACATCCTGCAGGTAGATACTGTCTGGTCCTGGCATGGTGGATTTAAAGAGCTGAAATGCATTACTTCTCAAGGTACCTCAAAATGGCCAATGCAAAACACACTGGATCGTGGTCTTTTCCAAAACTTGGTGCCAGTGCTGTCTTCATGGTCATTCCTTCCACACTTTGCAACCAAGCCAAATCCTAACAATCTGGTTTCAAGACTCCAGAATGTTCCCAACCACTTGCTGCCAAATCACTTGCCCGGATGAGAGCATCATATCTCACACCGTGTTGTGGCTCATGAGTGTTCAGCACATAATCATACGCGATTTGTTGCCCTCAGGTGTCTGAAAGCGTTTGCACCACTTCCCAGGCAGCATTCAAGCAGGAACATCCTGATTTTGAAGAAAAAACAAACCAAGTAACAACTAGTGCCCACCAGGTCTCTGTAGCATTGAGCATACATACGTTCACTGGCACCTCCAGAGAACATACAAGGAGGATTGGTGCATGGAAACACTTCCACGCCAAAGTCTCTTGGGCCCTGGAACTCATAATATACCGCGCAGCCGGCTGCTGCTTGATGATATATCGTAGTAGGCCAAAGCAATCTACAGAAATGACACCGCGCCTGGTACATTCCAAAGTGCTGTTTGCACAGCATAGCTTGGCTCATGTCCAGGAGTGCAATTGTGATGCTTCGGCATGGGGTATGTCGGAGGCATGAACCTCATGGCGGCCACTGCGCAACTGACCGGAAAAAACAACGCGACGAAGGTTCCGTGCTCCTTATTGCCACCACCTGCTCGTTCGGGATGCTGGAGCCAAGGCTCATCCACCAACAACATCCAACAACGCTTATCTAAGCACAAACCCTTCTGTTCAGCTTGCCACTTCAACGGCTTGTCCCACGCAAGAGCGCAACATGTCATCTTTAGAAAAATAATGACAATAAACATGTCCTCATCTTGTTCGAGGCGGGGCATTTGTGCGTACTTGACGTCTCGATGGGCGTTGATGATGACGCTCACAGCGTTGCACCCTTGAGCCTTAGGTTCATCTTTGTCGGACCATGACTTCTGCTCCTGACATGTGAACACAATTGGTTTCAGAAAAACTGGCCTTTCCCCCCTTGCGAGAGTTTCGTTGTCCAGTGAGTACAGTGTGTTTTCGGCTGTCTGACCCACAGACACACAAACAGAAACAGATTGTATATACAGAGGTCACAGAACTCGTAAACAAGTCAAATGGGTACGCCAAAACATGCGACCAGCCTCTTGATCAATTTGTTTGTCCTCAAGGTGTTCCTGCAAATGTTCCAATCTCTGAACTCTACAGTTTGTTCTGCCTGAGTACAGTAAGTACAAGGGGACTTATCCTCTGACTAAGCTTGATCTGCAAATAAGAAATGCTTTCACTTGAAGCCCTCCTTCTGAGACTCTAGACCCTGACCGTTTGGTTATGCCGTAGGTTTCGCCCGTGGCAGAAGCAACTCGGCCCTTCTTGAAGCCAAGCCAACCAATCAGAAACCTCCGGCTCCGTGGTTGAAATAGGGAAATGACTCTGGGAGATGTGGTGGGATTAAGAAGTGCTCGGAAACCATGTCTAGCTGCTCCAGAAGTGGACGTCTCAGTGTTTATAGATGTGTTTTAAAGCTATGTAATCCCCTTTTGGGAAAAACCTGGGAAGTAAAACTGTTGGGCAGTAGGAACAGCAAGAGTTCCCACAAGTTCATCTGGGGAGCACCGAGCCCGTTTGTTTAGAAAAACAAACGCTGCTGGCCACGATGCTCGCAGTGGTTGACATCGCAGCGGTAGGCATCGCAGCGCGGAGGTGTTCCCCGTGTTCAAACATGGTGTGTGTTTGCACTTTTTGATACCATTGCAACCAGCTCAGAAAACACCCTTGATACCATTGAAGCTGCTTCAAACAAGCGTGGGTCAAGCTTTTCATCGGCAAAATGTTTAGCTTCGAACCACCGAAAGCATGTTCGAAACCATGTCGTGACGATGTTAGGAAGCATCAGTTTGTGTTGGTGCAAATGTCCCAGCTTGATCTTTAATTCCAGCACTTCGATGCAGCTGGATGTCCAGGTCAACAGGACATGGCTGCAGCCTCTGGAGGCTTTGCTGTTTGCCAAGAAGCTCAGTGTGCACAGGCCGCAACAACTCCTTGCAGTACCTGGGTTGGGCTATATAGTCTCAAGGCTGACCATACGTATACCATATGACGAAACTGCCGCAGAGCCACATACTCATGTCAACCCACATCCCGGCAAGGCCTGATATGGTAAGACAAGACCATGGGAAGCTACCTCGGCATAGAGTTCTGCATGCTCATGAACGTCTTCTAGACCTATACTACTTGGGCGGGCAATAAGGGATGACACCCTTGTGAGAAAAGGAAGAAGTGTGTCTTTGCCACCACCCAGATCACGATTCTTCTTTCGATGCTTCAGGTGACCTGTGAGTTTCCTGGCCTGCGCCTGTCGAACGTCTTTTTTGGGGTGGGGCAGTCCCGAAAAAGGACGATCACCCCAGCAGCAGCCACATGAGTTCCACGGTAAGAAGACCCCAACAAATTGGTCCATCAAGTCCATTGCAAGGCACTCGAGTTGCGCAGCGTTCACATCCCGCTGGACACGCCACTGGTCGATCTTCCCGTCTGGCGGATCATCCAAAGCAAGGAAGAAGAACACATCCATCGACCAGGTGGCTTCTCCAGGAATTGGCTTCCTGGGTGCAGTGTGGGAGATGCCAACAAATTGGAAGAATCTTTGTCTTCTCACAGATCAAACCAGGCGCATGTTAGTCATTTTCAATGACCAGGTGGAATTCTTGGTGGACTGAGGTGAAAGATGCTTAAACCTGTACCATCGACCAAGTGCGATTAATCGAACATCGACCATTGGTTTGCTCAAGCTATCAACCTCGACGATTGAGTTCAACCACAAACTCTCAGACAAGAGTGTCCCAGTCAACTCTCACACCATGCAGGCCATGCCGGTATGGCCGAAGGGCATGGTCCTTCGGCTTCCAAAGATGAGGATCCGCCCGGTCGACCCGGCGTGGATCGCATACGGACCCTCCTCCGTTGGTCTTCGCCGTTCAAAACCAAAGCGTCTGGATCGCGTCGAGGAAGCGCCGGCGGATGTTCTCACACACGGCGGGCCAGACCATCGCCCGTGCGGCACCGATGAAGAGCACCGCCACGCGCAGTGATTCCCGTGGACTCGGCCCGATCGAGAGGGTGCAGGTGATAATGAAGGTTCATCGTTCGCTTCATTTACGGCTTCTGCTGTAAACAGGATTTGTGGACTAATACTCTGTGAGCAAACAACTCAAAGTGCAGGTACCCTCAGTTCGGACACAACCCGCCCAAAACAAAACGCCATCAGTAGGGGGAAAACAGAAGCCAAAACGGCCAACTGCAACCCCAAGCAACCACTGTGTAAATCTTTGTTGGGAAACCATCAAATATGGCCCTCCAACTGGGCTAGATTCAAGTAGGTGACTTGTGGATACTGGATACTTGTGGCCTTTTCTTGGACGCATGGCAAGCTATCAAGGCCTCCCTCTGGCTCGAGCTCCCCACGACTTTTCGGTGTAACCCGTCATGACAAGCGAAAATTCTCAGCGCCGGTGCTCCAGGGGTCCCTGTCATCTTGAGGTGCCTATCAAGAGCGGTGTCCAAAAACGGTATGGTTAAATCAATCCACCAAGATACGCCGCACTGCTTGCCTCGACAGGCGCCTCTGTGGGGTCTGATGCCTTGAAGATGCCGGAGGGTTGTTTGAAAAAGCCACCAACACCCAGGGAGTGTTTGACTTTTTGAGTCCCGATCCGGAGAA